TCATGCTGCGGCTAACGCTCCGCTAGCCGCTCCCAGCTAGCTCCGGTTTGTTATTGAGGTTAAAGTGGGAAGAAGCAGCGGATCTGTCGGGCAGCTGAGTGAAGTGGAGCCTGAGGAGGAAGCACCGGTTAGCCCCGGTTTCACTACAGGCAGATTCGCTTGCTACAGGGAAGAGGATATAACACCTGAACAGCCAGTCAGAGGGATCTCTCTCATCGACAAGCTCCGCTGCCGACTCAACATGCTCAATCAGCCGAAAATTTGGAATGAATGATGAACTAACTATTAGTTAATGGCCAGTTCCTCAGTAAGTCCTGATCAAATTTCAGACGAGTAGATACTGAGGAAGTAATGAGGAACTAACTACCTTTTTTGTGTACCCTAAAGTAAAGTGAGACATCAAAATGAGTAGGTAATGAGTATTGAATCACTACCTACTCATTTTGATGTCTCACTTTACTTTAGGGTACACAAAGAGGGTAGGTAATGATTAAGTAATAGTTAGTTCCTCATTAGTTCCTCAGTAACTACTGAAATTTGATCAGGAGTTACTGAAGAACTGACCATTAACTAATAGTTAGTTCCTCATTCATTCCAAATTTGTTATTTTTGTTAAGGAACTAATTGTAAAGATGATGATAATGTAATGAAAGACTACTTATTATGTGTCACTTTACTTTAGGACATGCATAGAGCTCTTTCTCACCTGGAGAAGCCTGGAAGCTCTGTGAGAATCATGTTCTTTGATTTCTCCAGCACTTTCAACACCATACAGCCTGCGCTTCTGAGGGACAAACTAGACCACATAGGGGTGGCTAATCACCTCACATCCTGGATCCTGGACTACCTCACGGAGCGGCCGCAGTATGTCAGGACCCAGGATTGTGTATCGGACTTGGTTGTCTGCAGTACAGGGGCCCCACAGGGGACAGTGCTGGCACCGTTCCTCTTCACCCTCTACACTGCAGACTTTTCATACGACACCACCACCTGTCATCTGCAGAAGTTCTCTGATGACTCTGCCATCGTAGGCCTCATCACAGATGGGGACGACAGGGAGTACAGAGAACTGAACCAGGACTTTGTAGACTGGTGAATGAGGAACCACCTTCAGATCAACGCAGGGAAAACCAAAGAGCTGATGGTGGATTTCCGCAGGTGCAGACTCCTCCCCCCAACACCGGTGAACATCCAGGGAAAGGACATTGAGATGGTGACATCTTATAAGTACCTGGGTGTTCATCTTAACAATAAACAGGACTGGACTAATCACATAACAGCACTGTACAGGAAAGGCCAAAGCAGACTCTACCTGCTGAGGCGGCTCAGGTCTTTTGGAGCGCAGGGGGCGCTCCTGAAGACCTTCTTTGACACTGTGGTGGCATCAGCCATCTTTTACGGAGTAGTCTGCTGGGGCAGCAGCGTCTCGGCTGCAGATAGGAAGAGACTGGGCAAGCTGATCAAGAAGGCCAGGTCTGTCGTGGGATGCTCTCTGGACTCTCTGCAGGTGGTGGGAGAAAGGAGGATGACAGCCAAGCTGTCATCTCTGAGGACTAATGACTCCCATCCTCTGCAGGAGGAGATAAAAGCACTGGAGAGCTCCTTCAGCGATAGACTGATTCATCCAAAGTGTGTGTAGGAACGCTATCGCAGGTCCTTCCTGCCTGCTGCTGTCAGGCTACATAACCAGCACTGCTCACAGTAGACTGCAACATGGACACTTTATTGACACTTTATTGACACTATGGACACTTTATGGACACCACAGCTGTCTGCTGTTTTGCACATACAATCACTTGCACTAGATGTGCTCCCTTTATCCACTGCTCATTTTCATTCACTGTTGCTCATTATTATCCACTTCCTATTATTTTCATTATTATTATTATTACTGTTATTGTTATTTATCGCCGACTCTTGGATTTTTGTACTTATTTGCATGCCTAGTTGTTTAAGTTTTTTAAGTCTAATTTTGAAATCTTTAATCTGACTCTTTTTCCTTGACTGCTGTAACACTGGAATTTCTCAATTATGGGATCAATAAAGGTGTATCTTATCTTATCTTATCTTATTTTAACTAATGGACGGGTTATTGAGTAATGATTCTGCACTGATGAAGTAACGAGTTCACTAATTATTAAGTCGTGATTAACCCCTCTATGAAATTTGATCATGAGTTAATGAAGAACTGACCATTAACTAATAGTTAGTTCCTCATTAGTTCCTCAGTAACTACTCTGAAATTTGATCATGAGTTACTGAGGAACTGACCATTAACTAATAGTTAGTTCTTCATTAGTTCCTCATTCGTTCCTCAGTAACTACTCTAATTTTGTGTACCGTAGTTCCTCAGTAACTACTCATTAGTTCCTCAGTAACTATTCATTAGTTCCTCATCAGTTCCTCAGTAACTACTCTAATTTTGTGTACCTTATTGTAAAGTGTTACCAAAAATAAAGAGAGGCCAGCACAGGGGGGGTATGGGCTCTCCTCCTGGTAGCAGTAAGGAGTCTTTCTGCTACATTTTGAATAAGCTGCAGGCGAGATAAAGCTGACTGACTGATTCCAGCATAGCGAGAATTACAGTAAAATAAAGGCGTGGAAAATCTTTAACAGTCAGTAATAAGTTTAATTTTTCAATTGATCCAAGGTGGTGGAAGCCAGTGCTGACAACTGAGTTGATTTGTTTCAACCAGAATCAAAGACAACACCAGGACTTTTTGTGTGGGGCTTTACGCTCAGTAACAGAGCATCAAGGGCACCGATTGTTGTTGCAGAGTTGTCTGTGAGGCTGAAGATTAGGACCTCAGTTTTATTCTTGTTTATCTGGGGAAAGCTTTTTGCAATTCAGGATTTTACATCCTCGGTGCAGTTTAAAAGGGAGTTAACATTGCATGGATCACAAGGTTTCAGTGGGAGGCGTAACAGGTTGAAGCAAAAGGTAAGCAGCAAACAGGTATTGATTCTCTGTCACTCCAACAGTAGTTCAACAAAGTCGATCCTCAGTGCTGCTGTGCATTAGCGCTTCATACACCTGGGACTCTAAGTTCATTTGTAAGCCCCCGCCCACTACCAGTCAGCCAAGAAAGAAAGAAAGTGATCATGTGAGCCTAATACTCAGCCTAGCACAATAGTGTGTAAATACCTCCTAAGTAGAGGTATGTAGGCTGCCTGCTCTTTAACTATAATTTCTCACATTCTATTTTTACACGTGAAGATGAGACACATGGGTGTGATGGCCTTGATGTTTTTGGAAAGCTAGCTAAGCTTGGCACAAAGAATGAAAACAGAGATTAACAGCTGGCCTGGCTCTGTTCAGAGTTAACAAAATGGGCCTACCATCACCAAGTAACATGCTACATTTTGTTTCTCTTTGTTCCTCCTCTCCAGACACATTTCTAAAGCCCCTTTTCCACGGCACAAAAAACACCCACTAACATCTGGCTTTTGTAATGGGCAAGGTTACAATCAGCATTCACAGTCAGGTCAAATGACTCTGCAGTAGTCACAGGTATTTATCAGCTCTGACTTTGATCGGCAGTGATGGAAATACAGCACCTGGGTGAACATTCTAATTTTAGCCCCACAAAGTACCCTCTGCCACGCCTGAGCAGCTCTAAAACATTCCAAATTAGTCTGCACTGAGTCTGAAATATAGACTGAATAAAGAAGGGGTATATAAAAGGAAGTAGTCTCCATATACAGACTCTACATTAAGTGAATGTAGAGTCTGTAGGCAAACCCCGGAGATCTTGCCTCCGGAAGAAGAGCGGAAGAGCCATGGTTTCCGGTTGTAGGCTGTTTGTAGTCCGCGTGATATTGACTAATCACATTTGAGCCGGCTGCAGCTGTTGCCAGGTTAAACGGTCCGTGCGGTGAACGAGGCGGAACATAATTGGCGTCACTGCAAACTCTGAATCCATCGCAATGGTTCAGCATATTTACATATATATAAACGGAAGTCGGAAACGGAAATTCACCTCCTCCGCCCAAATCAAACCTGAATGCCAAAAAATCGGGGGTCTGCCCCCAGAGGCCGTATCGCCGTCTGCCGGAAGTCAGATGCCGAATACAGCCGATGGGTTCCGAGAATGAAAAGGAAGTACTCATTGAACCATTTTCACTGGCCTCTGTACTGCTTTCTGCTGTTTACTAACCTGTTTTCCGGCCTGTCTGTGACATTGAACATGACCAGCATTTCACAGGCTTTTTTTTTCTTGGGATTTTCTTGAATGCCTGATTTCACAGCAGCTTTTCTAAAAACTTGCGATGCATGCTGCAATGTTTTCCAGTCTTTTATGCAATAACATTGTTGGAGCATGTGAAAATTGCAGAAATAGATGTGATGCCATCTCAGATACAGACTTTGTCATTATGAGCTCAGTTTTTCCAACAGAACACTCCTTGCTAGTTGCTTGACCCGACTTTTAAGCCCTTTGTTAGCCTAACCTGAACTTCAACCTGGACCTGTATGTGCCTGACCTTCTGCCTGCTTCATGAACCTATGACTCCCTTCCTAGCACTTTTTGGATTTGTTTGCCTGTTTAGACCGCCCTCCCAGTTCCAACCATTGCATGCTTATGATCCATAAGCGCTTGTCCGCATCTGTTTGATTAATGAAGCCCTGAACCGATCAGTCTGCATATGGGTCCTATCCCTGTTACCCTGCTTACTCCAGCCGTGACTGTTTGATCTGTACAAAACACAGAGTGTAAAACGACAAGTTGCAATCTTATGGGGCTTATGTGCTGGATTTCTTTTTGGCTGGATACAGTCACTTACTAGAGTCTCAGCTGGATCCTTGGCTCCAAAGTCATGGCTCCAAGAAAATACTTAGAAAATACTTAGAAATAGTCTGTCTTTATGTTAAAGCCAACCTTTTCCTGGCTTTAGCTTCATATTTAGCATGAGAGCAGTATCAATCTTCTCATTGAACTCTCAGTTAGAAAGCAAACAAGCCAATTTTGCAAAATACCAAACTGTTCCTTTAATACCTTTAGAAATGTTTCATCTACATTCATCTCAAGACCTGGAGCTAACTGTCCATCTGCCGTTGGTTTCCACTGACCCCAACAGTAATAAGAGAACTGAACAAAGAAAAGGCAACAGGAGGAGACAAAGGAAGCTGTCAGTACTATCTGATGTGACCCGAGAGCTCAGATTCAGGTATGAAGAGATGAATGGAGTGAGGTAATCTTGGACCTCAGTGAGTAACAAACAGAAAAGGAGTGAGCGCATTCAAGGACTGTCCCCCAACTGAACTTTAGTTGATCAATTAACTCCATTATGTTAATCTGGGATGCACTCCATGTTCCCTGTGGCTCTCAGTCCACCCAGGAACCCGGGGACGAGCCAAGACACAGAGGACAGGGAGACGAGTTCATTTCCCGCCGAACGGTGAATGAGGTCATCAAATGAGGAGCCCGGGGGCCATCCGTCCTCCTGCGAGGTCACCTCAGGGTCTGCAGCAGCCTGGAAATACAGCACATGTCCTGTGAGTGACCACTTTGATGTCTTTAAAGAAGGCACGCTCAGATGAAGATTTATCAGAGTCTGTCCAGTGTATTTTTTATTTGTGTTTTCATTTGCCAGAGCTTTAATGGGGCCCAGATTCTTTTGTACAAGATACCATTTAAACCTGATGAACTTGGGGGCAGATTCAAACATGCACGCACTCTTACATGTACACCCAAACCCGAGCAGTCACACGAAAGAGCTACAAAAAAACAACAGACGCATCCTTAGTTCCACCACATCCAGGTGAGTGGTAACATCTGCAGCTTTTAAGAGGAACAAAGCAACACAAAGCAGTTTTTTGTGTCAGCCAAAGATGTTGTGACTGCGCTCAAGCATGCATCCCAAAGGTGATTCATGACAGTTTAGGACCCAGGCTCCATTGCTTTGAGCTGACGCACCAAATCAAGACCACTTCAATGACCCAGAGAAGCAGCCGTGACTAAAAATAAAGAGGCAGAAAGGCCAAGAATAGCCTCGGCATGAGAGGAAGGAGTGAATTACTGCCGCGATAAGCCATGATTCCTACACATGCAGTTGGATCACGATGTGGCGGGGGCATGCAAATTGGTACCAGCTGTGTGGCCTTGGAGTATGCCGTTGCGGACAGGAGACAGGGTCCAACTATGCGGATTAATCATTTACTCATATAACACAGCCACGTTGGAAACCTCAGGCACTCACTGCATTTATCTCCATTCATGTGTGGTGGCACTCATGCTTGGCTTTGTGTGTGCGTGCGTGTGGCTCTGAAAACAATGCCGACCTCAGTGCCCACCACCTAGTCCATTATGGTTGCATATCATATCAGCACTCCGAATCATGAGCAGCACAATGGTTAAAAGACACCCTTCTCCTCCTCCTCCTCCTCCTCCTCTTCCCCTTGTGCACTTCAACATCCCATCACCCACTACAATTGCTCTCTACCGAAAGTCCAAAAAGTCTTGGTGTCAAACTGTTTCCAAGTTTTCGTGGAAACCATTTGGCCCACATTTTGGTTTTAAATGCATTCCTAGGATTTAGCACCCAGTTTTCTAGGAACAGCATATTCTGGGAACACTCCACTATACAGTATTTCAGAGAACTATATTTCATTGAAAATTTGATTTAGGAAAGTGTGATTTTTTAAAGTGGAGCCAGTGGGAGATGCAGCCAACAAATAAAGTTTATTGCCATGAGAAACCCAGACCTTCAAGGAAAGATGTCGGTGGTGTCTAGCCACAGCGTTGGTGCTGAGATGTCAGTAAAGTCGTCGCTGACACAGTGCTAAGGGGAATACATCCACGCTGAACGCTACAAACGCGCAACACCTACTCTTATAATAAACTTCTGAGTTCACATACATAGAATCACACACCTCATTTTACAGATGGGGGTTAAACACTCAGCATCATGATGACAGAATTTTAACGGCCGCACACGCATACACAAAAATCATTGCCTCTTTGAGTTGGTGGTTTACAGGACAAGACCCCCATGTGTTACTCAGCGAAGCCTCTGTTTATGGTGCTGTTTTTACAGGTCTATAAAATATTAGTCTGAACCACTCTGCTCTTGTGTGTGTGGAAAAGCCACATCTGAAGCCTGCTGGTTTGTCATGAGTGGCTGTGGGGAATAAGAGTTAATGCCGTGGCTTGGGACCTTTCCTATAACAACACAGACTCCTTCAAGGGTCCCAACATGACAGCCAAGACCACTGCTCGGGCCTCGCTTGCTGTATGTACTTCAAACATCAAACGAGCTACAGGGGACCTGTGCCGTGTTTACTGACCGACCTGTCTGGCCTGTTGCCAAGAGCAGCTCTCAGACATAAGTCGTTCCTCTGACATCACCGCGCAAGGGGATGGTAGGCAGACCAATGTGGAGCTACAAGAAACTATCTCAGACCAAAGCAGTTATACATACATGAGTATCTAGTGTCTAGAGAGGCAGGATATCCAAAGAGAGAAGTTTGGTGAAACTGGCTTCAGCCCCTTTCACACATGCACTGAAAAGCTGAAACTATCTTGACATTAACTGGAGGAGCTGTATGTGAGAACGCAAATGTCTGAATCAGTAAGACCGGACATTTAACGGACTCCGGCCTCCTAGTACAAAGTCCGTGTACGGTCCGATTGAGCCTATGTGTGAATAGAGAAGTCAAAGCGAGCAGGTGAGCATGTTGATGACGTTTCTATCATGCAGCTTGGACGAAATTGCAAGAAAACAAACATCCAAGAGTGAAGAAGAAGAGTAATTTACACAAAGACGGCAACGGAAAAGTCTACCTGGACAGAAGACATGATTCGGGAACTTCTGACGGTAAGGGCCGAGGCCAGTATCGTCAGACAAATTCAAGGAACGACAAGGGGGTGATCGCGATGTAATCTACGTCGTGTCTTGTCTCCTGCCACCCCTCACCTAAACCATACTGAGTATTTCCAGTGATTGAGAAGACGTTAGATATAGACAATCTTGATCTTGTGTATAATGTTCTTTTGCACCGTATCAGTTTTACAAGATTTCTTAGCTCTTGGCAAAATGGATTGTAATACCCTCAAAATCAGGCAATGCCACTAAAGCCCCGTTTTCCACCAAACATTTTCAGTATGGTACCTTTGGAACTAAAAGTACCCTTCAGACATGGTACCTAGACCCTAGCGTTATCTTTAATTGTGGGCGGGGTTATCGTCACTCACTGCTCTGACCAACACTCACTGTGTTTCCTCATTATCGGTGACATAGAGGAAAGTCTGCACTCCGTTTATTGTCCACAGAATGAGGCTAAACGCCAACATTTTCAGAACAAAATAGCTCAAAACAGGCTGCAGTGAGAGTTGTCTCTCCATGGGACATTTAAAAATAGTGGGTTTGTGCATTCAGTCCTTCTCAGGCAAGCTCAGGGGTTTAGTGTTGCATTGGCCCAACACTATCCCGGCAGTCGGCACAGTGAATGAAGTTATTTTTTCTCAGACTCTGGCTGCTGCAAGAGGCAGTAAAACATCCTTTCATTGCATAGTTACAGTTTACTAATAAAACTCTCCACGATATGAGCAGTGGTTACATTAATTTCAAAACCAGCCACAACTTGGCCCTGAGTGACCGTCCACTATTGACCAATCAACAGACTGCAGTGTTCACAGATCTGTGTGCTAGGTACCCCAACAGAGGGGGGACCAAAAATGGTAACCGTTCCATTGGTACCATCAACAACTTTTTTTGCAGTGAAAACGGAAAAAAAGCGTACCGAACTGAACTGGACCGTACCATACTGCTTGGTGGAAACAGGGCTTAAAGCTACTCCCTCTTGAGACCAGGAAGGCTGTTCCTTTATCAAACAAATAGAAAGTAAGTAAAGCACAAGTCACTGTTCATCCACATTCATTTATTCATCATTCCTTGCAGTGAAATCAGTTCAAACACAAACTTTTTTTTTTTATCAATTTCTTCTAGTCACAGAGCACAAACAGAAAACTCACAAGCCCATGTATAAGCACTTGACAGATTTCCATTAGCAAAGCCAAGAGCTCTGCTCAAATAGTGGAGGTGAACCCAGCTTACACCATGACAGGTACACTTAAAACCGACAGCGAAGACAAACTCAACCTCGCAGATTTTCTTATTTGTTTTCCTTGGATTGAGCAAGGCTAACTATACAAACCAAAAATGCAAAAAGGATTTTGTTTTTCTAATGAAAAGCATTCACACACAGCCCTCACTGCCCCCCACCCCCACTCTCTGTTGGCAAACAGACACAACTAATGCACCAAATTCTTTGCACATCATTACAAGGAGAATGTTTGGAATCTAACATACACACAACACATAAACAGACCGAGTTATATTTGTATATTCAATGAATAACTGCGTCTCAGAAAAATGTAAATAACTTACAAAGACAAACTGAATCTGTAGAGGAGATATAAACCATGAGAAAATAAGAAAAAGAGACAGTGAAAGAGAGAGAAGAAGAATTGGACAATAAGGTATTATGATGGAAGATGGCCTGGGGCATAGAATCTGGTGTACACACCATATGCACCACTTTGTGTACTGCATGCATGCATTTACCAGACACACACACACACACACACACACACACACACACACACACACACAGAGTACAAAGTGCATCCCATCCACCAACCCAGCAGGAGGAATGCGGGTCCAGTAAATATCTAAAAGGGGAGAGTTGACAGATGGCAGTCCTGAACACAATAATTACCACATACTTCCCACCACTGTGCATGTCTGCTACATCCTCAGCTCCTCAGGCCAACTCCCTCTAACCCAAACCAACGGCGCAAAGAGCCCACACAGCAACTTCATCCAGCTTAGGTCTCACAAAGAAGCCTGGCTTTGGGTTAGCAGCTGAATCTAACCCACAACACATATAGGCTGGAGAGCTGTTAACCAGAAGCATTAGCCCACAGACATATAGTAGGTTTAAGCTAACTCGAATCATGTGATACCGCAGTCTAGATCGGCTCCAACCACAGAAGCTTATAACCACAGAGGCAACGGAGGAGCCATTGTCTGCCTCTCTCACCAAACCTACCGTGACAGACTCCACTAAGACCATGTTTAGACCCTGGGGCTGCTTCTCACACCATAAACGCTCAACTTCAATTCACTAGCTGTCTGCAGCTCCCATCCAACCCACAGGTATGACTACGCACGCTGGGATGGCCAAGACAGCGTAATCAGCAGATTGGGGGTTGGAATCCGCAACCATGAAGATGAGTGGCGCCCACCATCGCAATGTCATGAAAACTAAGCTGCACCTCGCTGCGCTGAGGCTCCCTGGACCTTAAAAATGTCTCGCTCTGCTATGTGGTCTCCCTTGATAGGGAGTTCAGAGCCAAACAAGAGGTTCACACACTGGAGGAAGACATCAACATTGCAACAAGTACTTACGGGTCCAGTTTATTTCAACTTGTTGCACAAGACCAGCAGAGCTTCAAATGTTTACACCAGAGTCTCAACCTTGGGGTCGAGATGCTATTTGTGGTTGCTTAATATGCAAACAGGGTCACAGGAGATTTGACAAACTAGTACATGAATGTCAGATATATTTAGATTGAAAATAAGGAGATTTAAATATATTGAAATGTCTATGTGTTTCATTTAGAGCTTCCTCTACACTCCTGAAAACAAAATTACAGCGTACAGAATTTAGGGACTTAAAATCTGTGTCAAAATGGTTAAGAAATCCATCAACTTCAGACAAAACAAAAACTTACATTTTTGCCTTGAGATCAAACAAACCACACAGAGAACGGATTCATTACACGACTCAATAAAATGTGCCCAGAGGCAATGGATAAGTAAGGGTTTAAGGGATGGATCAGGGATTGTGAGCCGGATAAAAGTGTGTTCTGTGTGTGCTCAAATGACTGAGGGCAGCCTGCTCCCTCTCTCTCACTGTGATCTTTCAGCACAAGGTAATGATGAAGGATGAACCGGCCTTCCAGGGTTCACTGAGTTGATCTACAAGCACCCCACTGACCCCCCTCTGTGCACTCAGCTCTGATGCTTGGCCATGCAAGGAATGTTCACACATACGGATACAAACACAAACACTCAGGCATGGCCTGAAAACTGGTAGCAGGTTATCTAACATTCCTGACCTGGAAGACATTGGCTAAATTTGGAGTCTGGTCCTCACAATACTACAGCACTGGTTGTTTGTTCAAATGCCTTAAATGACCTATGTTTATGATTTTCTGAGAAGGACCTCGTGTGGCCGTGCGAATTATGACTGTTGTTTGTCAGAAGCAAAGGTGGAAGCAGCGTGATGTTGTTAAAGTACCGCAAAAGCTCTTAGGGAAGAGGTCTGAATAGATGGTTGGGTGACATCAGCAACTGCTGTTTGCATCCCCTTTTACTACCAGCTGTCAGCGTTGTTTTTCCTCCCTTAAATCTAACCACATAGTTTTTTTTAAACCTAAACCACAATATGTTTCTACCCTTAACCAAGAAGTTTTTATCCATACTAGTGGCTCTAAAGATTAACATGTCAGTCCACTTTGCTCCAGAAATAAACATCACGGGAAATACAGGATGGTTTGTTATAATTTTTGTACAGACATTTGTGGTCCCCAAAGGATGAAGCCTTCTGACTTTGGTGATCCTTATTAGTTATTTAAAAAATAATCAAGGGGTTTTCTACAGGTTCGAGAAGTGGAGGCCAATGCATAGGTGTCTTAAAACTGCATTGTTTTTAACGACCAGCGGGGGGTGACTCCACTGGATGCAAAAAGAAGTCAGATTGTGAACAAGTTGACCCTACTTCTCATTTGATTTATGACCTCAGAATACATTTTTCTAAGAGGTTTGTTTTCTCAAATTTCAAGTCTTTGGAGCAAAATGGACATAAAGCAGAGTATCTAAGGCATAGCTACCTTTTGATTGACACAAGGTTTGCTGCTAACATGGCATTGTCAACAGGTTCTCAGTCAGATCCACACTCTCATCCCCCCATCAATCTATCTATCTATCTATCTATCTATCTATGAGGATGGCAGTTGTAGTTTTACAATGTCTTGACAACTACTGGATGGATTGCCATGAAATTTCGTAAAGGCATTCAGGGTCTAATGGCAATCTACTGTTTACTTTGTGTTTAGTGCTAATTAGCAAATATTAGCATGCTAACACACTAAACCAAGAGGGTAAACATGCTGAACATCAGCATGTTAGTTTTGTCATTATGAGCATGCTAATGTTAGCATTTAAAGCACTGCTAAACTCACTCTCCCACAGCTGCTCTTATGGGTGTAGCTGCTTAGCCTTGTTTCAATCCAATCCATGATCTTCCTTGAAACCTTAACAAGTTAAAGGAACCAAATCCAAACCTTAACCACAGAGGTGTCAGATCAGAAATGGAGATGTGAATCATTTTTGTGACTACCATATGTAGTTTTTGTCCGGAAAGCAGCAACAAAGATGCCAATAGGGGCAGAGGATCAGAAAACACCCATGGTGTTTGGAATTGCTTTGTATAACACATGAATAAAGTCAGCCAACACCTCTGATGCAGACTAATATAGCATTGGCTCACAATGATTAGTAGCGCTTTTTCTTGCGAGCCCCCTCAGAGCTTTTATATGAAGTTCATGGTGTTTATCCAACTGCTTCTGTGTGTTTTTGGTCCAGCATCTCTAGATTTTGATTTTTCCCTTTCTCCTTCTTCTGCTTCTATGTTTACCCCGTCTGTTTCTTTCTCTTTCTCTCAGTTGAAGGGCAGCGGAGAGAGGAGAGAAAGTGAGTAAGAGTGAGCCATCCAACCCCATAAGACTGAACTCAATCAGCCATGCATCAACCACAAGCATTGGTAACCACACTCTCAAATGCTTATGTCAGATGTTATAAAGTGCCCATGTGGGCCTTATGAAGGACCCCTGTGTGCCATCTCTAATAAAGGGCCCTTCTGTCCCCACAGCGACTCACACAGTGGTCTGGCCAGGGGCTCGATCCTAAAAATAAAGAAACATACATATGCATTTTAGGAATTGGTATATTTGTGTCATAGAGAATTCATCACTCACTGATGCTCACACCAGGGATTTATTTAGGAGAGAAATTAAAAAAGAAAAAAGAGAGGGCACTTCATGGTTTTTAATTAAAACGATTCATTACAGTTTTACAGTCTGACAGCAGCACTAAAATAGGCAGTCTACTGACCCTATTTTTTTCAGACGGCATTGGGATGAGGTTGGGAACATGTTGGTCAGCAATGATGTTTACAGAACCGCCAAGCACATAAATTCATCTTCACTCCCTGTGAGTTGACATATTGTCAAAATAGTAGCACTTAATCAGTGAGATTTCCCCAAGGAACAAAATGTACAGAGCAAACAGAAACACCAGCACTCAGTTCATACCTCCCACGACTCACACCAGAGAATTTGTGTCCCAAAGCACTTCTGGCACATGAAATGAAGAGGCTGTACGTAAAGCCAGGCTGACAACCCAGTTAACCAGCCCGATACTGCTTGATGTGGATGGCAAATGTGGGAACAAGAGGCTTGATGGCTAGAAAGTAAGTTTTTTAAGGAAGCCACTATTAGCAATACTTTTTGGTAACAGTGGATAACAAGACTTCTTGTATGTGAACGTGATCGTCCATAGTGATGAATCCACGACAATTATCACCTTCCTCTGTGACTCCCTTCATCTCTGGAGAGCATTTTAACCTCTTTCAGCTCATTGTTTTGGTTTTCTAGCCCCAACTTACACCTCTCTCTCTCACTGCACAGGTGCAGCTGTTATTAGCAAAAAAGCTCTAAAAACAGAGTGCGCACTGACAGACTGCCTGCTTGACAGACTAGGTGGTGAACAAAGTGGAGCATTTAGACACTAATGAGCCAGATCCTTCCCTGAAGAATTTATAGAGGCCAGAAACAAAGCTTAAAGGAGAGTGAATTTTGGACTTGTACTTGCTACACCTCTTTCTAAAGGGGTCCATGTCATTGGTTCGACAGCCCATTGGTTCGACATCCCATTAGTCCGACTGTCCGCGGTGCTGAACGGCTCGCGGCGGGCGTATGGTGCGCCGCGACCAGCTTGAGGCAGAGCAGGCTCACGGCTTATGTGTTTGTCACTTTGTTTTTCATTTTAACCCACACCATGATCTTTTCGTGACCCTAACCAAGTGGTTTTTGTGCCTAAACCTAACCAGACCTTAACCACAGGGCATCATGATAATTTCGGAACAGACTTCGGAACAATGGGTTTCATATGGTCGGAACAATGGGATGTCGAACCAATGGGCAGTTCCCTTCTAAAGCGGGATTTGTAGGCCTACCCTACGCCATAGCCTACGCCATTGTGACCAAATACTTGAACGGTGGTGTGTCTGTGTTGCTCTGCAGTTACACCTCCAAAACATTAGTCAGCGGCGGAGGTTTCTGTGAAGTGCTGTAAAGTTTAGTTGATTCAAAACACACATTAAACACACATTAAACATGGCTTAATTGCGACAATTTCAAATACAAGTACACAAATTTGCTTCATGAAAACTCGCAGCATTCAAAGACAAGCACTTTAATCTGGACACATTTTCCTCACAAATGCAACTTGTTAATGTTATTTGCACAAGCCTATGGCATTTTACATTGTATAAATCAGCCTAGCAGCTCGCAATCTTTTCCTCCTCTCATATGAAGTCAGGGACAACAGCAACATGTAACGAAGGTAACGGTACATAATTTGGCTCCATTACAACTCACAAGGTTCAACGACAAAACAGCAGTTTTACTAAACACGTTTTCCAAACAAATGTAACATGCTAATGTTATTAGCACAAACCTATGGCATTTTACATTGTATAAATTAGCACTAGCCACAAGCAGAGGTTTCCTCTGCTCATATGATGCCAGGATAAATCCCGAGGTATAAATCCCTGAAGGATAAATCACACACAAGACTTAAAATGCTATTTTGTGGAGGCTTTATTATCTACACAATTTATTGTTTCTTATCTGTGGAATACAAGTAAATAAAAGCTTTGTTTCCACTGAGGGAAATGGTTTCAGCTTACAAAAATAGACAGGTGATATGCGACGCTGCGTCGTGTCGTTACGTTTGTGGGGAGGTACATGTCAGGTTAGTAGCTACCATGTCAATTCAACGCAGAAGTATAAATTCCGCCTAACTCGGTGCAATGCGAATAAGCAAATGAGTGAACGTCAGATTGTTTCAGTTTTTCCCAATGAAGATTTTCTAAGCTGCCTGTTGTCAGCAGACAGGCTAAGTGACGTGTCGCTTGCTTGAAAAACCTCTCACCCTGTATATATCTGGACAATTTTTCGCACTCCATTCACCAGAGTTCGCTAGCTTCCTGAACATTAGAAAGAGGTGTTAAGGTGACCAGAAACACAATCCCATAGAAATGCTAATGTTTCTGCTAATGCTGGATGTGCAAAGAACCAACTGTACGCTGACAAGTCCGCCCTACAAGTTAACAGGTAGTAATATGTATAAAATTGTGTTCAGAGCTTGTTTCTGCTGCCCCCAAGTGGCCAAAATTATTCAAATATTTTTGCAGCTTTAATTTCTAGTAAAAAAAAGAAAAAAGGGTGTTTTTTAATTATAAGACATACAGTGCGCACTATATGACAGCTGAGATTAGCCTTGTTTAGCTCAATAGCTTAAAGCATTTATAAAGTATAGTTTGTTCATTCTAGTAGAAATATATTAAAATTGTCATCTCTATCAGTTTCATCCGCCCAATGCCAGGGTGGATGGATACAAATGTTTAGACAAAAAAAAAGTTTCCAGCTATCATGAGTAATGATTTTGCAGGGTGTAAACTTGTGTAAGTTTATTAAAGAAAGGCTGTTAAGATAATATGCAGCATTAAACCCTCATGTAAGGAGATTCTGAATTTCCTCACCTTTAAAAAGACCTGTTACTTGATCCCAAAGACCTCCAGGAACTTGGCCAAGTTGAGGTATGCTCGCCATACCTTTTGAAATGCCTGCAGAGACAGAAAGGCAAAGAGCAAAGACTGAACTCTCAGCTTTAAGCCATTCTCTTTCACACACACTACCTTTTCCTTCCTTTCCTTCCTTTGCCCTCTCATCTTCCTCTTTTTGCTCCGAGGCTCTTCATCCATTTCCCCGTCACTTTACGTCTTTCGTCTGCGATGATGCTCGCAGAGGGGTAATTGGAATGTGTGCACGTGTTCGTGTGTGCATGTGTTCACGCAAGTGTGTGTTTGTAATGGGTGTTGGGGTGATAGGGTGGGGGGGTGTTGGGCCTCTGCTCTGCGGATGTCATAATTAGGAACTGGAATTCTGGGAATTCCTGGGAAGGTTGGACGGTCCTAGGACTTTTCATCTTCTGCAGTAGCCCCCCCAGCCGCTGGCCTTACGGAAAAATACAACATGTTCCAACACACACCATCACAGCAATCAATTACCCCTAACTGTAGAACACACATCGTAAACAACAAATATCCCAAAACATCCTACAATTGTAACCTCATGGCACTGAGGTTCACAAGCATCTGTGACATGTTGGTTTGATCTGGACCCAACCACTAATTCATGGGCTGGCTAATTAACCTCAACTGTTCTAAATACAGTATGTCATGTGCTTTATTTATACCACTATCAGAAAATAGTTCCTTCCAGACAAGGAAAATAAAATGCTAAATGCACTTCTCATCAGTACAATAAAAAACGCTTCATTCTTTACAAACAGGTAGTCTTATATAAGGCTGTAATATTATCACCAAAAGAGTCCAATGGTATTTTCTGTAGACACAGGCGCCAGTATAGAAACAATGCTCTCCAATCATGTGTCATGTCAAATAACACTTTTCTAATGAGCTACCTAAAAGGCTTATTATTGCTCACTAATGCATAGTTTTACAGGGTCCAACATGTGTCTGAGGAGCACTGGATAATCACAGACACAAATAAGAGTTTGGATATTTCTCTCTCAGAATCCGACTTCTTATAACTCACACCCACCCACACGAAACTAAGTTGACCAGTTGGTGAAATGGAAATCAAATATTGTTATTTTTAGCTTCTTTTTTTAGCAGCTGGTTCGCAGTTTCAAAGTGCATGATGCAACCCAAAACAAGTGTTACATTTGGCTGCGATCACCCAAACATTTCACACAGCCTCATTCACCATCCCACTACAGCTCCTCACCTGCAGGCGGTCAACAGTATCATGGTTGCATTTTATTACATTCAGTATTTTCAGTCTAATGTTTTAAGCTTCATCGAGTTGTTTACTTCTTGTTTTAAAGGACTAAAAAGTTGTGACTGTTCCCAACTTTGCTCAGGAGGTCCACCTTCTTGTGTGGACGCCTTATAATAAACAGACCAGAATTGACATAGGGTAGTCGAGACCTCACGGTGTCTTATGTGACAGAAATCTGAGAGCACTCCAAAACTGAATTTAGTTTGGCAGCCTTAGCGATGTTGGGGGTGTGCCACCTATTCGTTTTTCACAGGTTGGTCTAGCATTAGCTTTTATTGGTTGTGTTTAGGCCCAGTGTTGCTTTGTGGTGATAATCACATAATAAACACAATGAGTAGCATTAGCAGATCTGCAGAATTATATTCATAAGCTGATTTAAGTGAGGCTACAGCCAGTGAATGGTGGAGCGCTCAGGGATGGCATGTCAATTTATGCAGGTTATTTGCATTGGGTCTTTTCAAAATAAGTTTCTGTTTTCACAGGAAATGCACGGTTGAAGTGTAGCTCAAGCACTCATTGACATAGTCTCATCATCTGTTGCCACAAAGCACCTTGACACTGTGAGGTCTCGACTACCCTATGTCAATTCTGGTCTGTTTATTATAAGGCGTCCACACAAGAAGGTGGACATCATCTAAAGGTTGTACTTGGTCAGAAAAAAATGTCTGAGCCCCATTTTAGCATCACATTCTGCTGCTCCATTGCAGTACCACAGCTAGGAACAACCACATATGGTTTGTTTTGACGCCTCACCGTGTCATTGGA